TACTGCCTAAAGCAATTTAAAGATTCAATGTAATCCCTATCAAAATACCAACAGCATTCTGTAATGAACTAGAACAAATAGTTCTAAAATTCTTATGAAACCACAAAAGACCTCGAATAGCCAAAGCAATCCTGAGAAAGAAGCACAAAGTTGCTCCCTTACTTCAGGCTCTCCTACAAAACCACAGTAATCAAAACAATTTGGTACTGGCACAGGAACAAGTCCATAGATCAATGGAATGGAATAGAGAGCCCAGATACACACACCCACACATATATGATCAACTAATATATGATAAAGGAACCATGAATAAGCAATGGGGAAAAGACAACTTCTTCAACAACTGGTGTTGGGAAAACTGGACAGCTACATGTAAGGGAATGAAACTGGGTTATTGTCTAACTCCATACACAAAAGTAAACTCAAAATGGATCAAAGACCTGAATGTAAGTCATGAAACCATAACACTCTTGAGAAAAAAAACATAGGCAAAAATCTTTTTGAATATAAACATGAGCAACTTTTTTCTGAACGCATCTCCTCGGGGAAGAGAAACAAAATAAAAAATGAACAAGTGGAACTACATCAAACTAAAAAGCTTCTGTACAGCAAAGGACACCATCAGCAGAACAAAAAGGCATCCTAAAATATGGGAGAATACATTTGTAAATGACTCATCTAAATAAGGGGTTAACATCCAAAATATATAAAGAACTCACATGCCTCAATCCCCAAAAAACACATAACATGATCAAAAAATGGGTGGAGGACCTGAACACTTCTCCAAAGAAATACAAATGGCCAATAGGCACATGAAAAGATGTTCTACATTGCTAATCATCAGGGAAATGCAAATTAAAACCACAATGAGATATCACCTCACACCAGTTAGGATGGCCAACATCCAAAAGACAAGAAATAACAAATGCTGGCAAGGGTGTGGAGAAAGGGGAGCCCTCCTGCACTGTTGGTGGGACTGCAAATTGGTGCAGCTGCTGTGGAAAGCAGTATGGAGGTTCCTCAAAAAACTAAAAATAGAAATACTATTTGACCCAGTAATTCCACTCCTAGGAATTTACCCAAAGAAAACAAAATACCTGATTTGAAAGATATATGCATCCCTATGTTTATCACCACACTGTTTAATATAGTCAAGTTATGGAAGCAACCTAATTGTCCATAAATAGATGAATGGATAAAGAAGATGTGGTACATATACACAATGGAATATTATTCAGCCATAAAAAAGAAATCCTGCCATTTGCAACAACAAATGGATCTAGAGGGTATTATGCTCAGTGAAATAAGCCAGGTGGAGGAAGACAAATACCATATGATTTCACTTATTTGTGGAATATAAAAACAAGGCAAAACAGAAGGAACAAAATAGCATTAGACTCATAAACACCGAGAAGTGACTAGTGATTACCAAGGGGGAGGAGAGTGGGTGAGGGAGGGGGGAGGGGGATGGGGACTGTTGAGCCACTGTGATGTACATTTGATAAAATAAAAAAAGTAAGAAATATTTAATATACATTTTATGGAGGAAGGGTCTTACAAAGGCAAAGTACGTAAGGCCCATGAAAGGCATAATGCAGTTCTTGTTGGTAGCTTGAAATTGGCCATAGTGGAAATATTTACACCACAAAAATCAAATGCTACAAATCAGGGCTTGAATTTTTGTTTTGTTCACAAAAATTTTCTGTAAAGGGACTAATGGTATCTTAGCCTCTGCAAACCATGTGATTACAGCTACCACAACTACTGAACTCCTCAACTGTGCCTTGTAGTACAAAAGCCACTGCAGACAATAAATAATGGGCATGGCTATGTCCCAATAAAACCTAGTAGTTTGCTACACCATGTCCAGACTTGAAGTGACAGAGAAAATGTCAATGATGCAGATTAAATTTTAAGTGTTTAAGCGTGTTGCATCTGTAGCTATTACATTGTGATTAATTCCAAAATATGATATATTTGAAACTCCTATTTAGCAAAAATGTTACTCATATCATTGACAAGTGTAGCTTTGATATACATCTTCATTATTTTGTTTTCATTTTATACATGAATGGAAATGAAAGTATCAGCCAACATTCATGTCAGAACTATGTTTGGAGAGGGTATGTTGATGAGCAAGTTACGACCGTGGGTAACTGAAACAATCCTGTGGGGGAAACTCTGGCAAACAACCCAAAACACCTCAGAAAACCTCAGAGTTACCCCACCCAAGGGCCAAGGGGCTTGGGGTGTTTATACACCAACTCCCAAAAGTCACTAGTTGAGGACTGATCCCAGAGGATGTTAATTCCTCAGCACTTTTCGCTGTCTGGGAACATTGGCAGCTGAGGCTTTTTGCAATGGTAGAAAAAGAGCTCTCAGGCATAGTGATACAGATAATGGCAGCCAGAAGTCCAGCCCACTTTAAGAGATCCTGACGGTGCATGCCACATCCTCTGAGGTAAAAGTCTGGAGGACTGTCCTGGCTGATATGGCGGCTATGGCTAAAATGCCTTCAGAGATCCAGGTTCCATCCAGCTGTGTCATCCCTAGACTTAATTCACTTTCTTCAGGGTCCAAGATGGCAGCTAGAGCTCCAGCCTTCACAGGCACATTCTAAGCAGCAGGAGAGAAGAGATGAAAAATATGGGACAAAGAGGTTCCACGTCAGTTGTCTTTTAAGAAAGGATCCTGGAAGGTGCCATACCATATCCATTTACAACCCATTGATGAGAAACGTAATCACCTGGCCACACTTTGCTGCAAGAGGGAGTGTGAAGTGAGCCTTCAACTGGGTAGTCACATACCCCTCATTAGAAACTCTATTTTTCTAAAAGAAGGGGGAACATGGACAGGGGGACAATTAGCAGTCATTGCCAACCCCCCCCCAAAGGGAAGGGATGCAATTAGAATGCAAGTCCATATAGCCTTATGTCAGAATATGCTGTGATGAGGTCAGACACACTACAACATTGAGGGCCTGGGTTGGGGAATAAGGAGACAGTTTTATTCCACATCACAGTGAAAAAAATGAAACAAGTGCTTTCCCTGTATTTAATTAAACTCAAAGCCACAGATAGAGCCTAGATTGAAGCAACTCATTAACATCTTAGAATGGTGCATCTTGTCCAAGCCTTCCTTTGCCAACTTCCAGAGGAGGAGTGCATGCAGTTTTCCTGTAGAATTGGTGACACAAATTGATCCCCATATTTTTGTTTATTCTTTTTTTCAATTTAATAGACTTTATTTTTTTAAGAGCAGTTTTAGGTGTACAGAAAAATGAGTGGGAAGTACAAAGTTCCCATATACCCCCTCATTCAGCCTCTCGTTTCCTCATTATTAACATCTTCACTTAGTGTGGTACTTATATTACAATTGATAAGCCAATACCAATATGCTATTATTAACCTAAACCCATAGTTTACATTAGGGTTCACTCCTTGTGTTTTACATTCTTGAGATCATGTCTCAGTCAGCTATTTCTATAATAATGCTATGTAGCAAAATGATCCCAGAATGCAAAGGCTTATAAAATTAAGCATTTACTTCTCTCTCTTTCAGATCCACCTTGCAGCCAGGGTTCAGCTGATCACAGCTGGGTTTAACTCCAAGGTACAGTTTGGGTCCAGATCTCCTCCACATGTGACTCATCTTCTTTGGACCATGTTGTTTTCAGGGTAAAAGGCTGGCCCAGCCCCATAAGCACATTTCAAGCCTCTGCTTACATCCTACCTGTTAATATCCCATTGGCTAAAGCAAGTCTTATCATCCAGCTAAACATCAATGTGGTTAGGAAAGTGTACTTCTCCCAGGGATTTATGAACAGCAGTCCAATGTACCACAAATGATGACTGCAAATTCCAGTCGCAGGGCCATGTGTTCTGCTTTTGTATACCGAGAGACACATCCCAAACCAGAAAGCAGGAGAGAAATTCAGGTACCACCTAGGCAAGTTGAAACTCTGTGCTTTTTAGGAGCACAGAACCAATTCAGTATAGGGTTCCATGGGACCCTGGCTGGTGCTGTGATAATCCTTCAGAGGATGCAATAATATAGAAAGATGTTATTGGCTCCCCACCCAGTGTCCACCTCTTTTCATCATTCGCTATAATAAAAGCTAATTGCCAGGAACTTAAAACATGCCAGAAGGGCCCACTGCCTCCTGGCCTCTGTTTTTTCCCATGTCTCCTTCCTCTCCACTGAAAGCTTTCCATGCAGGGTACTAGTTACCTCTCAACAGCCACACCTCCAGACCTCAGGAATCCTGCAAATGGTAGATACCATCTCAACAACCATTCTGGCTGCTTGGCCATGGGAACTCCAGGGCTGCAGGCAGCCCCCAGCCCTGGGGGAGACCAGACCAACCAGCTCACATACTGCTGTGGTATGGCAGGAAAGTCAGGGTCCCAGATCATGAAACATTATTCCTGTCCTCTTGGCAGACCCAGTTCCTTGGAGACAAAAACCCATTCAGTATCCCAGTGCCAGTGTGATAGGCAGAATAATGCCACCACCACCCCAGTCCCCAGGATGTCCAGGTCCTAATCCCTGGAACTGGTGAAGATGTTACCGTACATGGTAAAAGGGGCTTTTCCGTTGTGATTAAGGCTCTTGATGTGAAATGTTTGTCTGGATTATCCATATGGGTCCAGTATAATTACAGAAGTCCTTACAAGTGAAAGAGGGAGGCAGGAGACTGAGAGATGTGATGACAAGCAGAAGATGGAGTGATGAGCAGAAGAGAACCATGAGTCAAGGGATGCTCGCAGCCTCTGGAAGTCAGAAAAACTAGGAAACAGATTCTTCCCAAAAGCAACCCTGCCAACCCATTTCAGACTTCAAACCTCTGCAACTATGAGAAAATACATTTGTGCTGTTTAAGCCTCTTCTCGCTTCTGGGCTCTGGAAGGACCCTTCCCCTCTTCTGACTTGTTGTCCAGAAAAAAGGCAAGTAGATATTCAGGAACTGGCAGGACGAGAAAAGCTGACCTGTTAGGAAAGCCTTTAGCATTCATACCTTTTATTTACATATTTATTTCATTATTTTTAAAGTTTCCCATCCAATAGCATTAAAGGGAATCCAGCTGCCCCAGGAATAGCAATAGAATGCCAGATTGTGGCTTGCTAGAGTCAAAAAGAGATTGTCCAGTTCAAACCACACACTTTACTTATGAGGAACTGTGGCTGGAGGTCCGGCGGTGTCTGGGAATGGGAAGGGCAACAGGCAGATGGCGCTGCAGCCACCTCACAGGCATCGCCTTGGCGCCTGGCTCTGCCTGGTCCCGCCTGGTCCCGCCTGTCATGGCTGCTGTTGGTACTGGCTTTCGGTAGCTGTGTAGAAATCCTCCAGCACACTCTGGATGTACTCGAAGGTGGGCCGCTCCTCCGGGCGGTTCTTCCAGCAGCGCGTCATGATGTTATACAGCTCCTCTGGGCAGTGCTCCGGCCGAGGCATCCGGTATCCACGTTCCAGTGCCCGGATCACCTCAGGGTTTGTCATCCCTGAGAAGGAGCCGTGAAATTAAAAAGGGAGGGATTGGGGGCCAGAGCCCCCAACACCACTACTCCTCAGCTCCCCTTGGGAGCTGGGCCCCTTCCACTGTGAAATCCACACACCCCTTCCCCAGCCTCCCCTGCAGAGAGGGCTGGGGCGTGGCACCCAGTTTTGGCCAATGGGAGCTGAGGGCGCGTTTCCCGGGAGACTTCCGGGAAAGGTGTTCCTCCCCTTTAGAAAAGAGGCTTTGGAGAACACACCCTTCCTCCTTCCTCGAGGCACTGAGACGTGATCCTTGGAGCTGCAAGAGCCACGCGGGGACGACAATCACAGGGAAGCTAACCCAGAGTTCTGAGAGTTGTTACGCAGCGGAACTAACCGGTCACCAGTGCCAGTTTCATTCATAGCATTCATCACAATTGACAAGTACATATTCATGTAATATTTCCCCCATCAGACTCTGAGCTCTGCCTATTGTTTCAGCCCTCTTAGTCCGTTATTCTGTCCTTTAGCCTCATGCATCCTAATGGATACAGGGTTGCATAACCCACTGCCTGGTTTTTACTCCTGCACCCTCAAGTCACAACAGTAAGGTGGCCAGACTCAATGTTATCCTATGAGTGGGACCACTTTCTTATTAAATTAACGTTTATGTTAGTTATCTTTAGGAACAACCTTTTAAATATCATGATTCCAATTTTATATTATCAGTGTTGAACTCCAAACTCGTATATCCAACTGCTTCCTTGAACATTTTTGCTTGCATGCCTACAAGTCACCTCAAATTTAACAGCGCAAAAACAGAACTCTTGAATTTCTACCCTCAGACCATCACCAACACAGCTGCTCAATTAAAATCAGGAGAATCAATCTTGATTATTTCTCTCCCTCACCTTCCACATTAAAGTCATATCCTTTTTCTCTGGAAACCTTAGCACCAACCCATCAGCGTCTCTCTGTCACCACAACCACCTTTGCCTGTACCATTGCTGTGGCTGCCACCATCTTCCTCCCTGGCCTCCAATCCACTGTCCATGCTGACCCCAGATATTACTGAAAGATGGAAATCAGAGGATGCTATCTTCCTGCTCAAAAGCCTCCAGTAACTTCCACACACTTAGACTGACATCCACATTTTTCACTCTTCACCTTCGCCCTGTCTGACCTGGCCCCCGGCCAGCCTCATCATCTGCCACCTGCTCTCACTTCTTGTCTCCAGCTCCTGGGCTTCCTTGGTTCTCTCCAGGCACACCTTAGGCCCTAGGAGCCAGCAGTGCCTTCTACCTGGAATGTCTCCCTAGATCCTTACTCATCTGTCTTCCAGCTCAAATATGAATGGTTTTGACTGGTGCTAGGAAGCCCCACAGGAGCCCATGTTACTCCCTCTCACATGGCCCTGCTTCATTTTTTTCTGAGCAGTGATCTTCAGCTAAGAGTGTGTGTCTGTTTAGTGTGTATTCCTCCAGGCTAGAACATAAGCTTCATGAGCAGGGACCTCATCTCTCACTGTATCCTCAGTGCCTAACAGACACTAGGAATTTGATAAACACTAATGAATGAACCAAGTGTCTACATCTTTTATACCTAATCTTTACAACCTCTTCCAGGTAGATATCATTACCTATATTTTTTAAAGGTGAAGATGAGTAGGAGAAGTGAAGTGAATTTCTTAAATTGTAATAGTTGACAGGGACAGGATTGAAATTCAGGACTATATATATATATATAAAAAGACAGGGACTCTTTAAACCCACCTTCCCCCTCTCTCCAGGGTTCTGGCTATAGACACCCCAGGAGTCATTCCAACCAAAAAGGAACAGGGAACAACACTTTACTGAGTCCCAGACATGTTGGGTATATCTTTGCATACCCACGTGGTCTATTCAATGAAGGGTACTGCCCATAGGCATGGGGAGACATTCACCCATTCAACAAATAGTTACTAATACCCATTAAGCACCAGGCACAGAGGCAGCGGACACACCAGTGAGGAATACAGACATGATTTCTGACCTTACAGAGTTCAGAGTCTGATGGGGGAAATATTACATGAATATGTACTTGTCAATTGTGATGAATGCTATGAATGAAACAGCATAGGGTATTATTAAAGAGAAGCATAGGGGATATGTGTGGCACTTTAGATGACTGGAGGTGGGGTACAGCATGAGATAAGGCTGGAAAACTAGGTAGGGCTGGATCGTGCAGGACTGAAGGCCATAATTAGGAGTTGGGGATTTTGTCCTAATTATGATGGGAGAACATTGAAGAGTTAGAGGTGGAGAAGGGACAAGATCTGAGTCACAGTTTTAGAAAAATTCCTCTGGTCCCAAGTAGGACAGAGGGGAGGTATGGGGGAGGCTGATTAGGAAGCCACCACACCATCCAGGTGAGAGATGATGTTGACCTGGTTGTGGGTAGAGACTGTGGAGTTCAAAGCGGCATATATTTTGGAGTCAAATGCTCAGAACCTTGTGACTTCTTGCATGTGGTAAAGCGTGAGAGAAAAGGAGGGGCAAGAAAGCCCACAGACTTCAGGCTTAAGAAACGGGGTGGGTGGTGATGACTTTAACTGAGATGGGCCAGGTGAGGGGAGGCTGGGGGTGAGGATCAGAACTCAGTCTGAATGGACACACTGACAAGAAAAGGGAGCCAGGCTGGGCCCTGGAAGCAGCTCAAGTCTATGTCCCCTTCCCCACCTGGGTAAGGGATCCGGCCGTAGGTGACGATCTCCATCAGCAGAATACCAAAGGACCAGACATCTGACTTGATGGTGAAGGAGCCAAAGTTGATGGCTTCAGGAGCCGTCCACTTGATGGGGAACTTGGCCCCTGTGGGGTTGGACAGAGCAGAGTCAGGTGGAGTGTGGGGAGCAGTCAGGGCCGGGTCTGTGCTTGGCTGGGGGAACAGGAGAGGGCACAGCTGCCAACATCTGCCCCCAGCAGAACTGACATCTCCCTCAAACTGGCCTCCGTGGAAGCAAGGAACATCCATTCTAAGGACAGATGGCTAAAGTGGGGGACAGTGGGCAGAGGGGTCTGGGTGACCAGGGGGCTAACAGTGTGGGGCCACCTTGTTGATTCAGCTGCTAACCCAGTGAATGACAGCTTCTGAAGAGTAGAGTCCTAGAGGTCACAGAATCTTTAGGGACAGCAGGACCTTAGGGGCCCTTGAGTCCAGGTCACAGCTGTTGCCTCAGGCCCTTCCCCTGGCAGTGAGGGAAGGGAACATTTTAGTTTTGACCCCCAACATTTACCCCAGGTGGTTTACTCCCTTCCTTCTGCCTGGCCTGGGTGGATTCAGTTAACCTTTGATTAGTGATTTCTGTTTTAATTCCATTGTGGTTCGTGAACATGGTCCTCAGGATATATGTGCTTTGGAGTCTGGTAAGACCTGCTTCATGACCGAGTACATGGTTAATGTTTGAAAATGTTCTCTGGTTTTTTTTCCTCCATCCCTTCCTGTCTTGGGATTGAGAGAGTTTTCTTTATTCCCACTTACCCTCCCCTAGTTTAGAAATTATACATTCTACTCTTATTTTTTAGTGGTTACCCTTAGTTTAGATTTTTTTTTACTATATCATAACCAACATGAAATATAGTACACAGATCTTTCATATACAACCTGATGCAGTTTTAGATATGTATGTACCGTCATAATCACCACTCAAATCAAGATAGAGAACACTTTCTGCATCTCCAAGGGCCCCTCCACCCCTTTCCCATCAATACTGCCCCATTCCAGGTTAACACTATTCTGACCTTTTTTGCCAGAAGTGAGTTTTGCCTATTTTTTTCTTTAATAGTTTTATTGAGATATATTCACAGACCACACAATTCACCCACTTAACATGTATGATCCAATGGTTTGTAGTATAATCACAAAGTTGTGAATTTTAGAATATTTTCATCCCCCTCAAAAAACCCCATAGCAGTCATTCCCCATTTCTTTCCAACTTCCTACCTCAGCCCCAGACAACCACTAATCTACTTTCTGTCTCTATAGATTTGCCTGTTCTGGATATTTCATAGGAATGGCTTCTTTCACTTAACATGATGTTTTTGAAAATTAATCCATGTGTAGCATATATCAGTACCTCATTCCTTTTTTATGGCCAAATAATATTCCACTGTAGGTATAAACCACATTTTGTTTATCTGTTTATCAGCTGGTGGACATTTGGGTTGCTTCCACTTTTTGGCTATCATGGATAATGTTGCTATGAACATTCATACACAAGTTTGCCTGTTTCTGAATTTCACATAAATGGAACCATCCAGCATCTACGTTTTTTTTTTTTTTTGGTCTGATTGCTTTCATTTTATTATTATATCTGTGAGAGTCAACCTTTTTGTGGCACGTGGTATTGGTCTGCAATCTTTCATTGCTGCATAATATTATGTGAATGCACCACATATTTTATAGTTATTCTACTGTTTATAGACATTTGGATTCTTCCCAATTTCTGTCTATTATGCATAAAGTTGCTGTTACTGTTAATTTCAACCTGTACTTGCCTAACTCAATCTAAAATTGATCAGTCCCTGGGTGAGGCTGTAGGCTGGACACCGTATCTGGAAGGACTCCATCAAGCTCAATGATACACAGCTAAAACAGGAACAGACCTTTGCATTTTACCAATCATTTTCACAGGTCACAATGGATAACACTCAGCCCATCCAAGTGGGCCCTATGGGCCCCTTAGCAGTGTTCCCTACCTTCCCGAGCCGTGTACTCATTGTCCTCGATGACCCGTGCCAGGCCGAAGTCAGCAATCTTACATACCAGGGATGCAGAGACCAAGATGTTGGCAGCACGGAGATCTCGGTGAATATAGTTCCTCTGCTCGATGAAGGCCATGCCTTCTGCAATCTCCACCCAAAACAGAGAGAGATACCCTCATCCTCAGATCTGGCCCAGTGCAAGGTGGATCCCACCCAGAAGCAGAGTCCAAGTGTGAGAAAATAGGAGAACGTGCACCAGCTCTCCCTTTTCTGGCCTTTGAGTTTCTTGAGCCAGGTGTTATCATCTTTTCTGTTTTATAAAGGAGGGACACTTTTTCTAGATCACACTACCAGGAAATTCTGAAAATCAGACTGAAACCAGTCTGTGTATTTCCAATCCCTGTGCCCTACGATGCCTCTAATTACTGCAGAACTCCAGTGCTCTGGAGGACTGCAGCTGGGTGCAATCTGGTGAGATTATTCGGGACGGGGTGGGGGTGGGGGTGGGGGTGGGGGTGGGGGGTCTGGCCAGACTGACCAAACCAAGGCGCCAGGCGGCTCAAGGCCAGAGGAAAGCGGGTGGTGCACTTTCAGGAAGTGGCCAGCAGGGGTCACTCGTGGCTGTTGGAACTGAGGTCTGAAGCTCAGGACTTTTCAACAAAAATTTGAGACTGCTTTTGTTTGGGGTAGCTGCTAGGCTGGTGGGTGGGTTTGAGGGGGTGTGGTGAGGCAGGGTCTTAGTCTGGAGGTTGTGGGAAACTTACAGGACTTCTTAGACAACAGAACAGTTAACAACAGCTATTATGTTAGTGACAGACATTGTAGCTTATTCATTTATTATAAAATACTTAAATAGCACTTACTGTGTGCTTTGGGGAGGTACTAATGCTAGCAACTGTGTGTCACAGGTGAGAAAGCTGAATCCTAGACAAGTAAGGAACTAGTTGTAGTGGAGACGGTGGTAGGAATTCTGACAGCCCTGCTTAGGGTCTGTGTGCTGATCCGTCATTCTATCTGAATATTTTGGTCATGTATTGGGCACAGAGCAGGCACAAATGCTGCTAGTTACCATTTTTTTAGTAGCCACTGGCAGACACTCATCAGTGGGGGCAAGGTGGGACTAACCCCATTTAGGAGACAGCAGAGGATAATGCCTAAGTGACTCTTGAGTTGGACCAGCTCAGCTTGAGCCCCACAGTTGTGTGACCTCAAGCATGCTATTTCACCCCCCTGTGCCTCACTTTTCTTCTCTGTAAATGGGGATGACAATAGAGCCTGCTTCTGAGTGGTCATGTGAAGATTAATCCTCTAAGCCTACATCAAGGGCTTAGAACGGTATCTGGCACAAAAGTATTCACTTCAATGGTGGCTATTAATGCTCCTGATTGAGATAAGTGGCATTCAGAGAGGTTAAGCAACTTGCTCAAAGTTACACAGTCAGAGCTGGGATCAAAACCAAAACTCTATGTGTCTCCTAAGCCCATATGCTTTCAGAGTGTGGCTTCTCAGGGGATTGGTGCCTGAATGAATAATGGATAGGTTTACTGAACTCAGGGTTGTTAAGAATTGGGGGTTGATGAGGTGGTGGGATTTCATGACCACCAAGTGGGTTGCCATGATGTCAGGCACTGGAACTTGGGTTTGCTTCTGAGAGTATTAGGGGACCACAGAATCAGAGCTGGAAGGACCTGTAGCAATATTCCAGCATTGGGCTCTTTGAACTGAATCTTACTGGTAACCTCAGGTTGTTTTGGGGATGAGGGTGAGGGAACAAAAGAAAAGCACCCTCTTAAATCAGCAGCTCTGTTTGACCTATTTAAACTACCCAGCTACTATATATGATGGAAGGAAAGGAAGGAAGGGAGGGAGGAAGGGAAGAAGGGAGGAAGGGAGGGAGGGAGGAAGCTTTTGAGCTTGAAAACCACAGATGTGGTTCAGATCTCTCATTTAACAAATGAAGAGACTGAGACTCTGAGCTGACCGAGGCCATACAGCCAGTTGGTGATAGGGGTGGGTGCCCTCCACTGCACCAATCCTCCTCTCTAGGGGGAGGTGAACACCAGGTCCCCAGGTTGCCGCCTTCCCACCGCTGGGCCCTGAGTCCACCTCTGCTCCTGCATACCAAGGGTCTGGAAACTCTTTCCCTCCCTTGGCTTCTGTTTTCCCATCTATGAAATGGGGAGAGTGATTTTGCCTCTTTCCCCCTGCCGCCCCTCCCCCACCCCTAGATTTCTGCTAGTTTGATGGTTATAATGTAGCAACAGACCTTACTATTGTTTCTGGGGCACAGAGCCCATTGAAGTGAAAATGCCAGGCCTTAATTTCCATATGCTTCTGGTATTGGGGCTCTGAAAAGTAGAGCTTTTTTTTTTTTACCTCCTACCTACCCACCACCCAACGATTTGCATACTCAAATGAGCTCTGTTTCAGGCCTTTCCAGAAGGCCCAGCACTAGGACTGGATACCAGTTTCCCTTAACACACTCCAGGCTGCAAACCATGCCCTTTCATTATTTCCAGCCCCAGGCACCTGCTGACCAGGCCCAGCTCTTTTGCCTTTCCTCTTTGGGCTTTGGCACAGGCAGTTTATTCTGTCCTTCCCTCTCCAATTAATCTATTTAACTTCTACTCATCCTTTAAGTGTCAGCCTAGAGGATACTTCTTCTGGAAAGCCCTCCTTGACTGCTCCTGGACCAGGCTAAATGCTCCAGCTGAGTACCCCTGTTGCACCCCTTTCTTTCCCTGTTTTTCCACAGGTAGGAGAGAATGAGAGAAAATTGAAGTGAAAAGCACTGAGGCTGGGGGCAAAAGTAGGTGCAGAGGGAAGGGAAGATAAGAAAGAAAATGGGATCTTAAGAAGTGTTTCTCTGATTTGTGTATATTATTTATTTTGCTGGATACTGCATTCTTTTGACACTGAGCATAGATCACTAGGGGCATGGTCTCTAAGAGATGCAACTGTTTAATATCTGTAAACTCTGAGCAGACAGCAGTACTTTCGGTTTTGTTCATTGCTGTATCCCACAAAATTAACGCTGCAGTTAGGCAAAGCTACTTAACCTCACTGGCCTGTTTCCTCATTTGAACTTAACTTCTCTATGTCTCAATTTCCTATTCTGCAAAATGGAATGACAATTACCTACCTGTGGCCAGACTGTTACATAGTGGCCCTCAATGGAAGATGCCTCCTGACACTCATGTCCCTGTGCAGTCCCCTCCCACCCTGACTCTGGACTGGGCCATGGGGCTTGCTCTGGACAATGGAACATTGGCAAACATGATGCAAGCAGAGACTTTCAAGTGCTTACACATTAGGGATCAGCCCCTCGGAACACTCCCTCTTGCAATCTCACTTCCATGCTGGCTGGACTACTGAGTGATGAGGGGCTACATAGAGAGGGACCCCAAAGGGTGAGCCACCATCTCAGACCTCCTAGCCTCAGGCAAGCTCTCAGCAGAATGCATCCACATGAGCAAGTTTTGCACCATGTGGGACCGAAGAACCACCCAGCCAACCCCAGTCAACGCACAGAATCATGAGAAACAACAAATTGCTGTTACAAGTGACAAAACTTTGGAGTAGTTTGTTACATAAAAATAAATAACAAAATCCCACTCTATGAGGTTGGTGTAACAACTACATGAGTTAGTACATGCAAGTTAGTACATACACATAGAAAAAGTATTTTATACTGAGCACTCAATAAACGTTAGCCGTTATTTTTATTATTACAGTGCAGTTGACCCTTAAACAATACAGGGGTGAGTGGCACTGACCTCGCACAGTTGAAACTCCCCTACAACTTTCAACTCCCCCAAAACTTAACTACTAATAGCCTACTGTTGACTGGAAGCCTTACCAATAGCATACTTAAGCAATACAGATTTTGCATTTTGTATGTGTTATACACGATATTCTTACAATAAAGTAAGCTAGAGAAAAGAAAAATGTTTTTTTTCAAATTATCACGAATCTCCAAAAAATTTTTCCAAGATATTTATTGAAAACAATCTGCATCTAAGTGGGCCCACGCAGTTTAAACCTGTGTTGTTCAAGGGTCAACTGTAACTGACTATCTGTCCTGCGCCCCGCCCCCCACCAAATCCTCCATTAGGCTCTCACCTGGGCCGAGAAGTCAATGAGTTTTGGCAGTGGCTGCCTGCTGCCTTCCTCGCTCTTCAGGAAATCCAGCAGGCTTCCTGCGGCCGGGAGCAGAAGCAACACTTTACTACCCTCACTACTTTAGTGTATGGTTGCAATCGTTCCTAGTCATGAATTTAAATAAAAATATTAATTTACCTCTCCCAGGGTTTGAGAAATAGAATTTGAGTGTTTTCAAAATGACTTTGTGATTGCCAGACTCATTTCTTTAAGACAGCATTCTGAACCTGGATGACTGCGGCCTTGATTTTATAAGGCTGGCATAATTGTTTACTTAGAAAATGACAAACGTGTGAGATTTCCAATCACACTGAATGAGGTTGTGTGAGTTCTTTTTGTCAAAAACATGGACAGGGCTTGAAACGGTTGTGAAATGGTGGCCTAAAAAAAAAAAATGCCCGCGAAATCCTGGATCGTGGGCAGGCAGGGTTGGGGCATCCTGGAGTGGATGCTTTGGCAGCTTTCTTTTCCAGAGCAGAAGGCAGCTGATGAGGGGGGACTCACCCCAGCCTCTGAAACTCAAAGTGAACCCATAAGCCTCTTCTCCCATCCCCTGGTCCCATTCTCCTTTCCCGGTAGCCCTGTGAGCTCCCTTCCTCGGCATGCCTTCAACATGATTTCACCCCATTAACCAGGGGGGCTGGGTGGTTGTATGTTAAGGTGCTCAATAAGCACTTGTAGAAGAGTTCCTGGCTGGACTGGGGGCATCTCAAGGGCAAGAATCATGTCAGAGTCGCCTTTGAGTCTACAATTGACCGGTATGAGCCTGCATCCCCGGCCCCTAGAACGTGGCACCTTTGGCCATGAACTCCGTGATGATGTAGATGGGCTCCTCTGTGACCACTGCGTGCAACTTCACCAGCTTGTCATGCTGCAGAGTTTTCATGAGGTTGGCCTCTGCCAGGAAGGCCTCCACAGACATGCTCCCTGGCTTCATGGTCTTCACGGCCACCTTGGTGTGCTTGTTGTAGGTGGCTGCAGTGGGACAGGGGGCAGGAAAGGTGGTCAGCACCCACTGCTCTTTCCCTACCACCCTGGAAAGCCCAGCTGAAGAACTACCTCCTCCAGAAAGCCTTCTCTGCCCATCTTAGCCTTGAGAAAGGGAAGGAGAGATACTGGCTTTGGCCTCAGACATATGAGGGTTGGAAGGTCAGTGTACTACTGCCTAGCTGTGTGCCCTAGGGCAAGTCACTTAACCTCTCTGAGCTGTGGTTTCCTCATCTGCAAAGAGGAAGTGATCAGCATTGCCTCTGAAGGGCTGTTGTAGAGGCTAAAGAACAGCCTCATTACATTGCTTAGATGTCACATACACACACATGCCATCTTTGCTTAAAATGCCTTAATTTTAACATTGCTCTAAAAATAAATACCAGTCTCATCAGGGCCTACAAGGCCCCACATAATCTGGCCTTGCCCATTTTGCCAGCCTCTTCATCCCCTCCCCTATAACTTGCCCTTTTGCCTTTTGTCCACCAATCAGCTTATATGTCATTCAGTCCCTCAAGAACCCAATTTCCCCTCCCACCACAGGGACTTTGCACATGTTGTTCCCTAATCCCACCTGCCCTACCCCACCCCTGTTCTATCTTGCTAATTTTATAAATTTCCTCATTGCATGTGTGTCCGTTTTTGCCTTGGCTGTCAGAAAGCTCTAATACAGATTTGAGGTCTTCCTGTACTCAGCATCTAAGGCCTTGCAAAGGATTTTTTTTATTTTCCAGCCTCGTCATTCAGATCCATTTTACCTTCCTCTCCATAAATTCTCTGCCACATTCTCTTATTCAGTCCTAAGCATGAGCAGGCTCTCAATAAATGCAGTTGATACATTTTAAACTTACTGTCTCTGGCTGAAGTGTTTGCATCTTTGAGAGTTATCTTCACTCCCATTTGGAAGGTGGTAGAGTGTACCAGGTACCTCACAATTCCGCAAAGCAGGCACCACTGTTCTCAGGTTATTAGTGGCAGAACAGCAGGGGTAGAACATGGCGCTGGGCACACGGCAGGTGCTCAGAACAGCTTGCCCATCACTTGGCAGCACTGAACTCACCTGATAATCTCCAAGTTGCATTTATCCCCTCTTAATTTTCATCATGCTAAGAGGCCTCATGTTACCTCAGCCCCAAACTGGTAGGCTGTTCCAGCTCCATATGAGGGAGTGATTCCTCGCCCAGGACTCCTGGTTTCCAGAAGGAAGTTTTTGACGCCAACAGGCCTGGCCTCAAAGGCAAATCAGTGTTTGCATAGCAGGGCAATGTGGTTTGCTGTCAGAGGGACTGCTGCTACCTTGTGGTTATTATTCAAATCTCCCCGTCTGCCCTCACTGGCATTCCCACTTTGCCGCAGGCTGTTCCTGGAAGCACTGGCCTCCCTCGCCCCTCTCCCCCACCACTCTGTGGCCCTGGGTCCTTACCCATCCAGACTTCTCCAAACTGCCCGGCTCCAAGTTTCTTCTCCAGCTTGAGTGATTCCCGGGGGATCTCCCAGGCATCTTTCTCCCATGGCTTCTGAGGCTTGGAGGACACGCAGGGCACTGTCAACTTCTGGCAGAGTCCATCACTCCCCTCTGGAACAGAGCCCCTGGTCAGCCGAGGGCAGCCAGCTCCGAGTTGTCCAGAGACTTCCCCTTGGAGGCCTCCATGCCTGGTCTACTGGCATCTGGCCAGTGTTCCAATGGGTTACCATCAGGAACATTCCCAACAGAGCAGAGCATGATGAGATGCCACCTCTGCCCTCCTCCTCAACAGGCTTAAGACCTCAGGAAAATCCAAAGCAACTATTTGTCTGGGGAGGGTCAGGAAAGCTCAGCATGCCTCAGAGCCTTCCATGCACCCTTGACTAGGATTCCTGAGAGATGGGCCCACCCCATTTGGGATGCAACACTGGGCAGGACTCACTCTTGTAGTGGGCCACCAGCTCCTGAAGGGTGCTGAAGGTGCTCCGTGGGGAGATGTAGAAGCCCCCATTGTCCAGGGTCCGGATCTTGTAATGTTTCACTGTATCCCGGTGCTGGGGGTCGTAATCTCGCACAGACAAAGAGTAGCTCCCTGCATTAGCCAGAGAGAAACCCCTCAAGAGTGGGATCTCAGGGGCCTGAGACCCTTCCTGACCCCCTTGTAAGGCCACTGCTGTCCTGGCACCTGGGTACAGGGTCAGAGTGGGCTGTGGAGTCAGGCTGCCTGGGGTCTCATGTGGGCTCCTCCACGTCCAGCTCTGAGACCATGGACACGTGACTATGTCTCCTTCCGGTGCCTCAGTTTCCTCATTTGTAAAATGGAATCGATCATTATACCTCCCTACCTCACCCTATTGCTTGATGATTAAAAGAAGTAATGCTTATAAAGTACTCAGGATATAAATATTCAGTAAATGTTGGCTGTCCTCATCATCTCCATTATTATTTTTCTATCTATCTATTATCTATCTATCTATCTATCTATCTATCTATCTATCTATCTATCTATCACAAAAGCCACGATGCCACATCAGTTTGATATAAAGTCGGATTAGTCAGAAACAAACAGAAAGATAACAAACAACAACAAAAATCCAGCTCAATTATTGAAATGTAAACATTGACATGTAAATGTAAACATTAATGTTGTGACAGGCTGAATAACAGCCCCTAGTATATCCATGTCCTAATTTCTGGAATCTGTGAAAATGTTACTTAAATGGTAAAAGGGATTTTGCAGATATGATTCAGTTAGGGATCTGGAAATGGGGAGATTATCGTGGACTATCTTGGGGGGCCCAATGTAATCAAGAGGATCCTTGTAAGAGGAGGTAAGAAGGTCAAAGTCAGTACAGTTGACCCTTGAGCAACCCCAGGGTCATACAAATACATGTATAACTTGACTCCCCCCCAACTTAATATGAATAGCCTACTGCTGACTGGAAGCCTTACCAATAACATAAACAGCTGATTAACATACATTTCATATATTATATGTGTAATATATACTGTATTCTTACAATAAAGTAAACTAGAGAAAAGAAAATGTTTTTTCAGGTCATCACAAATCTCCAAAGAACTTTCCAATATATTTACTGGGAAAAGTCTGTGTATAAGGACCTGTGCTGTTCAGACCTGTGGTAGGATATATGAAAATGGAAACATGAGGTTGGAGAGAAGTGAGAAAGGGGTCATAGAATGCTGGTGGCCTTGAGAAGCTGCAAAGGGCAAGGAATTGGATTTGAAGCCTCCAGAAGGAACTAAACCTGCTGACATCTTGACTTGAACCCAGGGAGACTGATTTCAGGCTTCTGATTTCTAAAACTCTAATAAATTTATCTTGTATTAAGCCACTTAGTTTGAGGTAAGTTGTTACAGCAGCAATAGGAATCTAATACACACAGCTTCCCATAGACCAGAAACACAAGTGTTTCAGTCCTTGACCACACTTCTGCCATTTTTGGGGGCTGTGTGACCTTGAGCAAGTCTTTTAGCCTGTCTCTACATAGGATTTTGAGGAGGTTAAAATTATCACATGAATAACAATTGACCATACATGCCAGCCATGGTTCTAAGAGCTTTAGATGAATAAACAATGAATGAAATATGAATAAATATTCATTATAATGAATTACAATTACATGAATTATAATAGATTATAACATTCATTATAATGAGTGAATGAGTAATGCCACAAAGTAGAGCTTTTATACCACCATCATTTTACAGGTGAGGAGACTGAGGTCCAGGGAGGTGAATTTACTCACCTGCAGTCATGCAGCTAATAAGTGGCAGAGCCTGGATTCATACCCAGGCAGCAGGCTCCAGGCCTCACTCTTAGCCATTCTGCCCAGCCAGGGGGAGGCTGGCTTGGCAGGTGCTAGATGGGGTGGGGCAGAATTCAAGTAGTAGCAGGATGGGATTCAGGGCATCTTGCTGCAAGTTTTATTAAATTGGCTTCACTTGCCACTGTGCTGCTAGCGTGAAAGTGGACCAGGTTCACCGTCCTGCCCCACAGGTCTACCATTGTTTCTTTGGTTTCTCTGCCCCTGTCTGCAGGGTGGACCAGCCCAATTCCTCAGCTGTCCTGGGCACAGTTGGAATGGAGAAGCCAGGGGCTGGGTACAGCTTTGCCTTCTTGTCCTATTTCTTTTCCCCTGGGAGCTTGAAGAGAGCTGGCTGAGTAGGAGGAAACCTGGGAGCCTTAACATTTACAACCTGAAACCCTGATTTTAAGTGGCGTTATCCCAGCCACCTTCAGTCTTCACCAGTTCAGACACCTAGGAGGTGAGCAGGAGACACAGGTGCCTTTGATTAACATGTTTGCCCAAAACTGTTTGCTCAGGGTACTTTATATAGTTTACTTGATTGATCAGAACCCAGTAGTTTTGAGTCTAAATGTGTTAGTAATGGTGCACTCTGTGTGAAATCTGAAATCACCAGACTTCTGACTTCTTACTTACATTCATCCCTATGGGACCGTTCACCTCAGCTGATGCCAGTTTGAATTATGTGATGTTTTCGGGTACTATTTTGCCTTCTGTGCAACAACCTGGCAGACAACCACCCTCACTGCACAGGAATTTTGGGAAATAGGTTGCCAACATAGAAACTTCCAAATGCCTCAAATGAGCTATTTAAGTAGAGTCCCAGAGGAGGCTGACCTGGGGCTCTTCCTGTGGCCTGTTCTATCCCCTCCTTATGGAGGGAGATGGCATCAAGTTTGTGGACAAGATACCTTGTGACGGACACTTTAAATAATACCAGCCAGTGAAGATCAGGCTTCCGCAGAATGTTGTTTTCTGGAGACCATAACCACGCAGGGCTGCTTCCACTGACCTAAGTGGGCAACTACTGGGACTGAGAAGGCGCAAACCAGGCTTGTGCATAGGACAGGCCCAAACCTGGCAGCCACGGTGGGCTGGGTCAGTCATTCAGCCCTTCCTAGGACATTTTCCGAGGGAGGGGTGGTGGCCAGTCTTGCGTGGATCACCCCTGCAGGGCGAGACAGGGTGGGGAGGGCTGGCTTCACCTTTGGTGGTCTCACTGTCCCGGATCATGAAGGAGCCCAGCACGTTGCCGGGAGCCAGGAGGTGGCGCTCTGCATCCTTCCGGCTGATGCCCTTGAAGAACCACCTGGTGGAAAGCGACAGGGGAAGCGTGTGAACCTGGAGTGGGCAGTCCTGTCTCGCTCGCATAGGCACCAGGATACAGAAGCTTTCTGTAGCATCCAATTTTCCTCACAGATTCTTTTGGGAAAAATAACTGTTCTCTGATCTTAGAACAGACATCTTATCAGGAGTGAATCCTGTTTGCTGAGACTGAAACTTATGCAATGGGGGGAGCTCTTAATAAGAAAAATAACACAGCATTGCCTATAGGTCATTCCAATGCCACCCAGTAAAAGGGACACGGTGATGGGCAGAAAGACCGAACAGAAACACACAGCAGTCTTAACCAACTGTGGCCAAAATCTTACTTTTGCAAACTTGACAAGCACACATGAGCGTCCTCTCATAGCCTTAGGGGCACATGTGAGTGAGGGCCTAAGCATCATTAACCTCACAGTTTATCCCCTTTTGTGTATACAGCATGGAATATAAAGTTGGCATGACTTTTTAAGCTAAAATGTGAGATTTATCATATCATTGGGGCTTTTCTTTTTTCTCCTTGAATATTTGGGATATTGGGTGGAAAAGTCCAAGCGGTGGCAGCCAGATCCATTCCTATCCTCAGTAGAGTGAGGAGTGGTTCATGTACTTTGATGGGAAAAGCCCCAGACCAGAGTTTAGCAGGCCTCAGCCCAGCCACAAACCTGCAGTGTGACTTTGATCAAGTCACTTTCCCTCTCTGGACCTCTGTTTCCTCTGTACCATATGGGGGAGAAAGACAGCTTTCATTGAGCTCTTGTTATCTACCCAATAACTTTATGGAAACATTGCCCTTATTGTCCCCATTTTATAGATGAGGAAACTGAGGAACAGAGAGAGAGCAAGTAACTTGCCTGTGCCACACAGCTGGGAAGCGGTAGAGGTAGGATTCAAATCCAGGCAGTTTTACACCACTTTCCATGCCTTTAATCACCATGCCACACTGCCCACCTGCCTTCTTTGCTTTCGTTTTATGAAACGATTTATGAACCTCCAAGCAATGTTACAGGGTACACAGAAGAACTGTCTTCCCGGCACTCCCACCCTTAGGAAGTCATCCCACGGATCTTGCACACGGAAGAAACAATATATACACAGAGATTCACTGTCACATGAGGCTGGAAGCAGCTCAAATGATCACTGATAGGGGTGGTGGGGCACCTACGTGATGGACACTCCGTACCTGTACAAGGAAGGATGTTCTAGGTGCTGCAGGGAAGATCTGAACAAACGGTGCAGAACAGTGTGTGGACTACCTACCACTTGTGTGAAATAACAGCGGATATATGTATTTTCTTACAGAAGCCTAAAGCATTTGGGAGGACTGCAAGAAACTGGTTGCTTTTGGGGAAGGCAAGTGGCTGATTGGGGAGAGGGTGGAGGGAAGACTCTTTTTGCTCTTTATTCTCAGTCCTTCCACACCATTTGCATTTTGCAACATTGGAAGTATTGCCTATTTCAAGGCTGGGGAGGGCATTTTGAAACACTGGAATTTTTGCCTATTTTAAGGCTGGGGAGGAAGTAAGATTCTCCTACTCTGATTCCCAGTGTCCCAGCTCCCCTGCCTAGGGGCACTCTCTGTTAGAAGTTTCTTGCTTCTGTGAGTGCTCTGTGAATTGGATAGTGATGTTTAGGTTGGTATTTCTCAGGTGTGTCCTTGGACCAGCTGCATCAGCCTCACCTGAGAAATAGAAATGCAAATTCTGAATCAGCTAGTTGGGGAGAGGGGCCTGGAAACCAGCATTTTAACCAGCCCTCCATGTGATGCTGGTGCCCTCAAGTTTGAGAACCACCCATTTAGAGTATGCCCTCTGTTCTCAAATGATACCCCACTGTGCATGTGTTCTGCACCCTGCCCTTGCCACTTAGCAAGTATGTTGCCTTTGGGGTGAGCCTCCTCCAAGGCTGCTGCGAGGTGCCAGATGCGAAGCAGAGAGTCTGTGAGGGTTCGGAGGCCAGAGCACCATCTGCCTCAGGAGAAAGACTGGAAGGAGAGAGAAGCAGCCAAGGCCCCCTGCAGCATGTAGGGAGTATGCTGAGGGGAGGTCCCAAGCAGAAGGATCAGCAGTAGAAGAGGGGGCTTCCTTGTGGCCACTAGAGGGGAGACTTCATAGGGCAAAGAGATTTTGTGTGCACTAACAAGGGGATGACTTTAAGATGGGAAAAACCCAAACATGTTCATCTGTAGTAGGTAAGCATTCCAAACCCTCAGCTATTCTAGCCAGAGGGAAGAGGCAGAGGAGATAAAACCATGGGGACTGGCATCTTTCACCTTTTTGACTGGCTGGTTCTGAACTGGATCTATTGCTGCCCTGTAGTGTGGTCACCCTTTCACTTGTCAGTCTCACCCACCACGCTGAACATCTCCAGGTGGGAACCCCATGTGAGTCATCTAGTATCCCGGGAAGAGGGCTGGTGGGCGCTCAAAATGTATCTGTTGGATGAATGAATGAATGGAGTATAACTATTTATGTTTTCAAAGTCAAGCTGGACACAAAGAAGAACCAGCAGCCAAGAATGATGGGTTACAGGGAGCTCCTTGAGGGTAAGACTGTGTCTTATTTGTTCTTGCAGCCCCCTGTCTGGCACTAGGCCTTGCGAGGTGCAGCCCATCTTTGTTGAATGAATCAAACAGGGGGTGACTGGCCAGGAGTGGGTGGGCTCACTTCTCAGAAGACCATCTTGGCATGACTGTATACTTCAGCCAGTGAGCATTTATTGAGCACCTACTGCATGCCAGTGTGGGCCAAGGATGCAGCAATGGACAGACAAGGTCCCTGACCTCAGGTGCTCCATTCTAGCTGGGGAGGCAAACAGTGAACATGTGAACAACCAAAGAACCTACATAGTTTTTGCTGGTGAGAAGTGTTCGGAAGGGAAGCAAACAAGTTTCCATGAGAGAGAGAGTCACAGAGGGGACCCTCTTTAGACAGGGTGGTCAGGGAAAGCCTCTCTGAGACCCAAAGGATGAGAAAGGGCCAGCCAGGCAAAGAGCCCCAGGAAGAGTGTGCCAAGTAGGGGGAGATGGTGAGTGCGAAGGCCCTGAGGTGGGAACAAGTGGATTTGCTCATCTTCCTTCCGGAGGGCAGGAAAATGGAATACTTACTCCTCTGTCTCCAGAGTGTCAGCACGGGCCACGTAATTGCTTGGGATATAGCCTTCTTTCTGGGTGGCCAGGGATCGAGCCCTCCACCATTCCCCAGACCTGAGGGACAGGAGGGAACACAAGGGTCAGGGGGGCAGAAGGACTCTCCTGATCCTCTTGGGCCCCTTAGCCTTGGTCTAGAATACCCCCAGCCCCAGGAAGCTGGGAGGGTGGAGGGCAGGACCAGTACTGTCCCAGCCCCTAGCACATACCCCATGATTAGGGTAGAGATCTTTACAATAGACCCCTCTATGTAGCCAAGGACCACAGCCCACAGACCCACTCTTTTTCCTTGGATTTATGACTCTGGCCTTCCTAGCCACACCCAAGGTGGGGCCCTGCCCATGGCAAACTCACAGTGGTTTAGCTAGGGCCAAGAGCGCCAGGGAGTGAGCTCAGGAGTCTGAGCAAACATGACCACTCCCGTTCCTAGGCCCTAGGGCATAGCGGACACTACACCCACTGCTGGTGAAACTAGGAGATTGGAGGTAGCAAACTCAGAGGTCCAGGGGTTTCTGAGTGCAGTCACCTCAACAGGGTCCACTCCATAGGTAAGCCTGTAACTAAATCTCAAGAGCTTGAGGAAAGCCCCCCTGAGAAAGCACCCTCGCCGTTCATCCCTGCCTGGGTGTGCACCACTGTGAGTACACAACCCTCTTTACTGTGGCCTTCATCCACGTTAACAGCAAACCCTTTCTCTTCTAGCATGACCAGGTTCTTGTGAGTCATTGACACCTTAGTAGAAGATAGTACATCAGGTTCTTTACTAAAGCACAGAAGAGAGCATAATTGAGTATTGGACATAGGTATATTTTAGAGGGAGTGGGATGAGGACTCACTCCTCCAGGACCACCATCTGGTCCCCCTTCTGGAAACTGAGGTCTTCATGGTGAATGGCGTCATAATCATATAGGGCAATCACGATGATGTCCTCAGAATCAGCTAGAAAGAAAGACACATGGGATGGTGAGGCTTTATCTGAGCACCCTCACAGCCCTGGGTATTTCCCATTCCAACACCTGGCACCCAGCCCAAGACCCACTGATGTGTCTGTCATGGTGTAAGTAAGCATCTTGCCATACTGGGTGTGAGTCTAGAATTTAAAGCTAAAGGTGTTTTGTTCATGTCGCTGAACAGTATTATAGAAACATAGTAGCCTGTATGAAGTACTGGGGGCAATTTAGGGGATTTTCAAGGGTAGTTTTGACTGTTTGGGATTTTTGCCTTAAGCTCTAAGAACCTTACCTGATCTTCTATGTACCAGAAGATTCCACCCCACGTGTTTGCCAAATACTTACCCTCCGTAGGTCCTGATGGGTTACCATTGCTGATGTCAGGCTGTTGTGGGGAAGAAATGGGAGAAGGGAATAAATCCAATGGTGTGTGGGAAACCATGAAGGTTTGTGTCAAAAAGGACACCCAAGAGCATCTCATCCCAGCCCTGTGCATCATGGGAGGAGGCCATAGAGGGCTGAGGAGAGGCCCAAGTTCACACAGCACATTAGGGGCACAGCCATGGCAAGGCTCCAGGCCTCCTGGGTTGTGGCCTTTAGCCTTGTACATATGGGGAACACTGGCTTGTCCCTTGCCCCGATGCACACTGAGGGTCTAGATCACTGTTTGCCAAGCTATGTTTGCAGAAACTGTCTTTATGTACATGTCTTGAGTATACAGGCTCTGTTGTATATGTGAAAGAATCTAAGTGTTCATCCAAAGGCGTACTGGCACCTACACTGTGGTGCTCGAAGCAGCCCTTGTAAGAGGGAGGTAGAGCTTCATTCTTGACACCACTAGACCTCAAAGATACACTGTCAAGTGAGCAAAGCTAGTTCTTCAGAAAAATAAATATGATACATTTATATAAAATGCATACACATATTCTAAATACTTTCTGTGGACACATACTATATATGTGTGAGTGTAAATTCACGGAAAAAGGTTTGCAAGGATCAACCCCAAACTCCCCACTCTGGGGAGGGGGACATTGGTCAGAAGAAACTGTAGCCTTAACTTCAATTAGTGATTTTTCTTCTTAAAGGGAATATATTCGTGTCACACACTTATAAACATTGCTTCAAAGAAACAGGTTAGAGAAACACTGAGATGGTCAAAGAATGGTAACAACTACTGCTACTGGTCCTGTCGTGGTCATTACTGGTGCTCTGGTTGACACCTCTATTCCCACCAACTACCACAGTAGGCTCCCCTGACTACCACAGCATCCCTAACTAGTGGGGCTGCTACCTGGCAGCCGCTGCCCCCAAGCCTCCTCCTGCTGCAGTTCCCACCGTTAATGCTCTGCTGCCCTAGGCACTCGGGTCCCACCTGCTTTTCTCACTCTTTCTGCAACAGCCTTGGCACCTGCGCTGCTCGAGTGTGAGCCCTGGCTCTACCACTTACACACCACGTGGCCTGTGGCAACTTATTTAATATCTGTGTCTCATCTGTAAAAAATGGGTATAATAAAAACTGTGACCTGCAATAGGATTACTGTGAGGATGGAAGGTGTTAATTGTGGTAAAGCACTGAGGACAGAGGTTGGTCCATTGTAAGCTCTGCGTAAGTGTAAGGTAAGTAAGTACCTTGTCTCGTATTACCACTTCTCTTATTGCCTACTTCTGCCATGTTCCTGCTGCTCTTGCGTTATAGCCCCACTAGTGTTGCTGTTGCTATTATGACAGCCCTTCTCATTATTGTCATTGCTGTAATGTTGATGCTACCACCACTGCCATTGTTTCAACTGCTGTTGTTACTAGTCTGCTCACTCATTACTCTCAGCTCTGGTTATGCGACTGCGCAGCCTGACATGCTCACTGGGATCCTGTCACTGGAGCCCAGGCTCATGGGAAGCATGACAAGAAGTGACTTCCTTGTCCTGAGTGCTCAGTGCAGATTATCCTGGATAGTCAGGGACGCTGGTGACCGGTCAGCCCTACTGCACTGCAGACACACCCTGCTTGCCCCTGGGAAGACAGAAGGCTGCTCTGGTAGTGTGGGGCAGTCCCCTTGGCCACTGGACTCCCCGCTTCTTTCTTCACTCACCCGCTTGCTGGTGGATGTGGGATCAGGCACATACACGGGGCTGTGTAGGTTGCTGCTAGGCTCGTTTTTTGAGACCTTGCCTCCATCTCGGAAGAACCTGGACTTCACACACCCCATCCTGCAGCAGAGTAAAGGGAAGTGAGTCTGGCTTGCCCTGAGCCCCATGCAGGGGAGTCTTCCACACTGAGTTCCAGGCCCCCTGCTCCCAGCCTGGCTCCCCATCACCTTCCCTGTCTTACCACCCACTGCCAGCCCTGCTTACTCTGCCTTCGCCCCTTCTGGGCTTCCCCATGTCCACGACTGCCATGCACACCTGCCTAGAGCTGACAAACTGTTATAGTCGTGCTACAAGGACTCCTGCAATGGGGAGTTCACTCAGAGAATAAATCATGAGGATCATCAAAATTCACCAGGTAGAGCCTTGGAGCAGCATTGGCTGGTGGGCATGGCCTGCCCTGGGGTCAAAGCCTGAACTGACGCTCAGCCCCTCCACACCACCAGCACCTCACTTACAACCCCCCTCACTTATGCTCCCCACTTTCACTTCTTCATCAGCAAATTGGGGATAATAATGCAACCTCCTCAGAGGGTGTCAGAAGGATGAGAAAGCAAGGGGTGAGGAAATACTCAGCATAGGGTCGGGCTCAGAGCAAACAGTAAGGTAAAACTGTGCTATTATTATATACAGGCAGAACTCAGAGATATTTCAGGTTCCAGACCACCGCAATAAAGCAAAGATCACAATGAAGAGAGTCACATGAGTATTCTGGTTTCCCAGTGCTTATAAAGCTTACGTTTACACTATACTGTATATTATGTGTGCAATAGCATTATATCTAAACAATGTACATACCTTAATTTAAAAATATTTAATTGCTAAAATATGCTAACCATTATCTGAGCTTTCAGTCATAGTTTTTTTGCTGGTAGAGGGTCTTGCCTCAGTGCTGATGGCTGCTGACTGATCAGGGTGGTGGCTGCTGAAGGTTAGGGTGGCTGAGGCAATTTCTTAAAGTACTACAGTAAAGTTTGCCATATTGATAGACTCTTTCATGAATGATATTTCTGTAGCATGTGATACTGTTAAATAGCATTTTACCCACAGTAGAACTTCTTTCAAAATTGGAGTCAACCCTCTCAAATCCTGCCACTGCTTTTATTTATTTATTTATTTTATTAAAGTATCATTGATATACAATCTTATGATGGTTTCAACCATAAACAACACAGTGGTTTCAACATTCACTCATATTATCAAGTCCTCACCCCCTCTACTGCAGTCACTGTCTATCGGTGCAGTAAGATGTTACAGAGTCATTAATTGTCTTCTCTGTGCTACACTGCCTTCCCCATGACCTACCTATATTGTGAGTGCGAATAGTAGGGCCCCTTAATCCCCTTCTCCCTTCCCACCCTGCCCTATCCCTCCCCTTTGGTAACCACTAGTCCATTCTCAGTGTCTGTGAGTCTGCTGCTGTTTTGTTCCCTCAGTTTTGCTTTGTTTTTATATTCCACAAATGAGTGACCATTTGGTATTTGTCTTTCTCCACCTGGCTTATTTCACTGAGCATAATACCCTCTAGATCCATCCATGTTGTTGCAAATGGGAGGATTTCTTTTCTTTTTACGGATGAATAATATTCTCTTGTGTATATGTACCATATCTTCTTTATCCATTCATCTACTGATGGACACTTAGGTTGCTTCCATATCTTGGCTATTGTAAATAGTGCTGCAATAAACATGGGGGGTGCATATGTCTTTTTGAATCAGGGATGTTGTTTTCTTCAGGTAAATTCCTAGGGGTAGAATTACTGAGTCAAATAATATTTCTATTTTTAGTCTTTTTGAGGAACCTCCATATTGCTTTCCACAACAGTTGAACTAATTTACATTCCCAACCAAGAGTATAGGAGGGTTCCCTTCTCCACATCCTCGCCAGCATGCTGTTGGTATTTTGATAGGGATCGCATTGAATCTGTAAATGGCTTTAGGCAGGATCTGCCACTGCTTCATCACTAAATTTATGTAATATTCTAAATCCTATGTTGTCATTTCAACAATCTTCACAGCATCTTCAACAGTAGATTCCATCTCAAGAAGTACTCCATCTCAAGAAGCCACTTTATTCGCTCATCCGTAAGAAGTAACTTCTCATCTGTTAAACTTTTATCATGAGATTGTAGCAATTCAGTTACATCTTCAGGCTCCACTTCTAATTCCATTTCTCTTGCTATTTCCACCACATCTACAGTTACTTCCTCCACTGATATATTGAACCCCTTAAAGTCATCCATGAGTAAGTCATCCATGAGGGTTAGAGTCTCTTCCAAATTCTTGTTAATGTTGATATCTTGGCATCTTCCCATGAATCATGAATGTTCTCAATGGCATCTAGAATGATAATCCTTTCCAGAAGGTTTTCAGTTTATTCTGCCCAGAATGTACTTCCTAAATAATAAGACTTGAAAGTTGAAATTACTCTTTGACCCACGGACTGCAGAATGGATACTGTAGCAGGCATGAAAACAACATTAATGTCATTGCCATCTCCATCAGAGCTCTTGGGTGACCAGGTGCATTGTCGGTGAGCAATAACATTTTGAAAGGAATCTTTTTCTGAGCAGTAGGTCTCAACAGTGAGCTTAAAATATTCAGTAAACCATGTTGTAAACAGATATGCTGTCATCCAGGCTTTGTGGTTCCACTTACAGAGCTTAGGCACAATAGATGTAGCATAGTTCTTAATGGCCCCAGGATTTTTGAAATGGCATATGAACGTTGGTTCAACTTAAAATCACCAGCTGCATTAGCCCCTGACAAGAAAGTCTGGCTGTCCTTTGAAGCTTGAAGCCTGCAATTGACTTCTCTCCAACAGTGAAGGTTTGGATGGCATCTTCTTTCAGTAAAATGCTCTCTTTGCCTACACTGAAAATCTGTTGTTTAGTGTAGCCATCTTCATTAATAACTTGCTGAAGCTTCTCCATCAGCACTTGCTACTTTACTTTGCACCTTTATGTTATGGAAATGGCTTCTTTCCTTAAACCTCATGAGCCAGCCTCCGCTAGCTTCCTCACCTCTCTCAGTCTTCATACAATTATAGAGTTAGGGCTTGCTCGGGATTAGGCTTTATCTTAAAGGAATGTTGTGACTGGTTGATCTTCTATCCAGACCACTAAAACTTTGCCCATATCAGCAATAAGGTGCTTTCGCTTTCTTATCATTTGTGTATTCACTGAAATGGCACTTTTAATTTCCTTTAAGAATTTTTCCTATGCATTCACAACTTGGCTAACTGGTGCAAGAGGCCTAGCTTTCAACCTGTCTTGGTTTTTGACATTCCTTCTTTACTAAGATGAATCATTTCTAGCTTTTAATTTAAAATGAGACAGTAAGTCTTCCTTTCATTTGAACACTCCCTTCTTTCCCTTCCTTTGAGGCCATTGCAGGGTTATTAATTGGCCTAATTCCAATATTGCTGTGTCTCAGGGAATAGGGAGGCCCCAGAGAGGGAGAGGGGTCGGGGAACAGCCAGTCAGTGGAATGGTCAGAACACACACATTTATATATTAAGTACTCAGGTTTGGATTGTGGTTCTGACTGGCTGCATGGCCTGGGGTAAGTTACAGGGTCACTTCCTGGGTGAGTTCCTGTGGTCACTTCCTCTCTCTGAGCCTCATTTTCTTCCCTGGAGAATAGGAGGCACTTACTTCTCAGTCTCTACCTGAGATCCTGCCTGACAGGGATGTGAAAGGCTTTTAAAAACCTCTGAACACACGTTTCTTATCTATGTGGCTCAAACCAGGCTGTGTGAGCAGAAGGGGCCCATGCAGCCCCGGAGGAGTCTAGAACTGCCGACCCCTGGCAAAGACACTTCCTCAGGCTGCCGCTAAACGCCGGGAACCTGAAACTCACGCCTCGCCCCCAGCTTCTGCTGGCGCTGCACGGGAGGGAAATGAGAAAGGTCTTTGCCTTTCTCCCGCCATGCCTGTTTCCCACGGTCATGGTGCTGGGTGTGGGGCCTCCGTGCCCCCTGCTGACTCCGAGTCCAGCCCAAGGGGGAGAGGCCAGCGCCCTGCCTGGGCATCGTGTGGAGTGGTTTTCTAGGAGTCTTTAGGCTCAAGCAGAGGCCTTCAAGGGCTGGGGGTGAGGAGCCCTGGATTCTGTTCCCACCTCTGCCGCAAGCTCACTGCATGACCTTAGGCAAGTCCCAATCTCTCTCTGACCCTCATTTTCCCCAAATAGAAAGCAAGAGTCTGGATGATAATCTCTCTGAAGAACACCACTGTAGTTCTTTGCTGCATAGCATCCGCTCCCCCTTATTCTGACAACAGCTCGCCCGGTTTCCTCTGGGAACCACTTCTCCCCCATTCTCAATTCCTGGATTCAAGTGGAGCTGACTTTAACCCCTGGCTGTAAGGGTGGGTCTGTGACGGAGACCGGCTAATCAGATGTGCAGTAACAGAAGCAGGACGGACATGTGACTCAGTCTGGGCCAATGAGATTCATCCATTGGCCTTGGCTGGAAATGAGGCTTGCAGTTACAAAGCCGAAGCAAGACGTGGAGAAATACAGACCCCCAAGCCCTAGGATCCAGCCCCCTCTGAAGGTGATGTGTCATGGACTTGCCAATAACCTCCCTTTTCTGCTTAAGCCTGTTTGAGTTGGATTTCTGCCCACTGAAACCTCAGTCTTTCCCAATGCGGAGGAAATTCTTATAAGGGACTGTAATTTATACTTAAATGTAAATGACTTATGACAAATACTTCTTTGGTAGCAGGTTTTTATAGAAGAGAAAGAGGGTAATAGGTCCATTAGAATAGGTGAGGACGTGGGGAAATGGACCTCATGAAGCTTATGTCATGGAAGCCATGCCTAGAAAGTTCTTTGGATTGTGGTTCTGACTGGCTGCATGGCCTGGGGTAAGTTACAGGGTCACTTCCTGGGTGAGTTCCTGTGGTCACTTCCTCTCTCTGAGCCTCATTTTCTTCCCTGGAGAATAGGAGGCACTTACTTCTCAGTCTCTACCTGAGATCCTGCGTGACAGGGATGTGAAAGGCTTTTAAAAACCTCTGAACACACGTTTCTTATCTATGTGGCTCAAACCAGGCTGTGTGAGCAGAAGGGGCCCATGCAGCCCCGGAGGAGTCTAGAACTGCCGACCCCTGGCAAAGACACTTCCTCAGGCTGCCGCTAAACGCCGGGAACCTGAAACTCACGCCTCGCCCCCAGCTTCTGCTGGCGCTGCACGGGAGGGAAATGAGAAAGGTCTTTGCCTTTCTCCCGCCATGCCTGTTTCCCACGGTCATGGTGCTGGGTGTGGGGCCTCCGTGCCCCCTGCTGACTCCGAGTCCAGCCCAAGGGGGAGAGGCCAGCGCCCTGCCTGGGCATCGTGTGGAGTGGTTTTCTAGGAGTCTTTAGGCTCAAGCAGAGGCCTTCAAGGGCTGGGGGTGAGGAGCCCTGGATTCTGTTCCCACCTCTGCCGCAAGCTCACTGCATGACCTTAGGCAAGTCCCAATCTCTCTCTGACCCTCATTTTCCCCAAATAGAAAGCAAGAGTCTGGATGATAATCTCTCTGAAGAACACCACTGTAGTTCTTTGCTGCATAGCATCCGCTCCCCCTTATTCTGACAACAGCTCGCCCGGTTTCCTCTGGGAACCACTTCTCCCCCATTCTCAATTCCTGGATTCAAGTGGAGCTGACTTTAACCCCTGGCTGTAAGGGTGGGTCTGTGACGGAGACCGGCTAATCAGATGTGCAGTAACAGAAGCAGGACGGACATGTGACTCAGTCTGGGCCAATGAGATTCATCCATTGGCCTTGGCTGGAAATGAGGCTTGCAGTTACAAAGCCGAAGCAAGACGTGGAGAAATACAGACCCCCAAGCCCTAGGATCCAGCCCCCTCTGAAGGTGATGTGTCATGGACTTGCCAATAACCTCCCTTTTCTGCTTAAGCCTGTTTGAGTTGGATTTCTGCCCACTGAAACCTCAGTCTTTCCCAATGCGGAGGAAATTCTTATAAGGGACTGTAATTTATACTTAAATGTAAATGACTTATGACAAATACTTCTTTGGTAGCAGGTTTTTATAGAAGAGAAAGAGGGTAATAGGTCCATTAGAATAGGTGAGGACGTGGGGAAATGGACCTCATGAAGCTTATGTCATGGAAGCCATGCCTAGAAAGTTCTTGGCATGTATTAGGCCCTCCATATACATTGGTGGAGTGAATGAATGTATTGTCCTCAACCCTCTACAGGCCTGACTGTGCATGGCTGAAGTCAGCAGGACCAGAACTATGAACCAAGGGAAATGGAGGCCTATGGCAGAGAGGGTCCTCGGGGTCAGTAGCAGGTAGAAAGTGAACCCAGCTGTCCTGCCTCTCATCCTCCATTGGGGTCAGCCCCAGAGGCTGCAGGGGTAAGGGGAGGTGAAGGAGGGATGAGGAACACCAACAGGAAGCTCAGGAAGGCAGATTGCCAGGGGCCCAGGGCTCAAGACTGTCCAGTTAGAGGAACTTTCCCTTCTCGGAACAGCTCAGGCATGGGGGTTGGGGAAAAAGTCTTTCCCCATCAAGGGCCAATTCCCTTAAGAGTTTCAGGGGTGCAGAGCCCTACAGCTCCCTGTCCTCAGGTTCCCTGTCTTCTGAATGAAACACCCAAACCCCCAAGTGACTGGTATTCCTAATGGTCATTTGGGGGTCACCCTGACTCCCCATCTCTCTCCTTTCTGACCCTCAGCTTTTTTCTGATCAAAGAGCTCAAAACTCTGACTTTGCAAACAGGAAGGGATTGAGGAGACCTTTGTTACACAGGTGGGAGCAGCCGCCCCAGAGAGGGTGTTGTGCCTTGGTTTACACAATATCAATTGACAGAGTAACACACAGAAGGGCAGCTCGGGGCCTATGGTTCTTTGCCTGACTGGGCCAGAGTGCTGAGATGCATGTGTTCCAAATACTTGTTCCGAACAGGTAGTGGATTCTTAGCATGTTCATTGTTAATCTCTGGGTCACCTCACTTGATTGTCTCACCTGATGTACTCCAGAATTCAGGAGTAATTACGAATCTCCTTAGAATAATTTTATTTCTAAGGTAGGCAGAGGGGCAGGGAAATTTGGAGAATTTAAGATAGGATTTGAAATCAGAAAGAGCTGGCTTTGAATCCCCCTTCTGCCTCCTACAGATAAGTGAGTCTTTTTAAAGTATAAGTCAGGTCACATCCCTCCTTTACTTAGGCCTCCTGGGGCTCCCCTCTTCTTTGGAATAAAAACTGAGGTCCCCTCTCTGACTAGCAAGGCTCTATGACCTGGGCTCCCCTCAACCTCACAATCCTGTCTCCCACCAGCCGTCCCTTGATTTTTCCATTCCAGCCACATAAGTCTCTTGTTATTCCACAACTCACCAACTGCTCTTCCACCTCAGGGTCATTGTACATGCTACGTTCTGGAATGTTCTTCACCCAGAAAGCCTCTTTCACTTCAGCCCAGTCTCTTTGCTGATGGCACTTTCTCAGAGAGTTCTTCCTTCATCACCCTGGTTAAGATAATAATACCTGCCCCCAACTCCCATCACTTTCTAGCCCCTTCCAAGGTATATCTTCATAGCTTTAGCTGCCACCTGATGCGGCGGCCATGAAGATGGGCCTCTCAGATTCCAGCTGCAGAGAGTGGAGTTAGCCAGTGGTCCAGCTGCTGTGCTTTGAAGTCCATCACTGTAGCCACGGGCTGCCCCCAGCCAATGACTGAGTGTAGCAGGGATACGGGGCAGGCCTCTGACAAAAACTTTGGCAAAGGGCTCCTCAATAGCCTTGCTGAGCTTGGAAGTGCACTGCAATCTAAGGCACTGTCACCTCCGCTTCCTTCCCTTCTGCACCTGGAGTCAGATCTGCTGGTTCCCCTAGCCTCTCCCACTTTCTCCCACACGCATTCCCGCTAAGAAATTCCTTGCACATTTAATCTCTCCAAGAGTCTGCTTCTCAAAGGACCTGAACTAACACATCTAATGTATAACATATGGATTTATCATCTCTCTCTCTCCATAGAATAGGAGACATGAGGGTAATGGTTGTTTTGTACACTGCTGTATCCGTGTGTAAAACTAGGACACCATAGATGCTCAATATATTCTTCAATAATTGGATGAAATTCCCTTCAGTTTCCTGGGTGCCCCAGTTTCCCCCACCTAAACAATAGTTATGAATGTGTGCTTCAACTGAGAAGGCTCTCTGTGTTTATCCCTGCTTGGAAAGGAACAAAGTCTCTTCTACACGGGAGGTGAGTGGAGGGAGGTTGGCCTCTTCAGAGAACATGGTGGTCAGTTCACCCCAGGGGCAACTCTTCTAACCTCCCATCATGCTCCAATGTCAATTACTCCCAAATTTGTTCCCCATGACGGGAAACCTCAAAGCTGCAATAACACCTGCTCTGACGCTTTTATAGTTACTTTTCTGTTTGGGAGGGTATGCATTTTGATTTTAAGATGACCTTTAATCCCCTTGTAAAATATTGCATCATCCTTGTTAAAAAATGAAAACATTACAGATAAATTTAAGGTACCCTTGGAGTACTCCTTTACAGGCCCTCCATGCCCCCCACCCCTGCCTCCTCCAGGCAGCCTCAGCCTCTGCATTTACTTGCACAGATATTGCAGCAGATGAAGTTGATGTGCAGCCATAGTTCCACCCTTGACCATTTGGGAGCACTCTTACTGCACTTCCGACTGCCAGCACCTGCATCTCTTCCCCTGAGAGATTTCCCTGTGGCCGCTGGTGCCTGCTCTGCCCATAAGCTTGGCAAGTGGGAGTGTAGGGCAATGTCGTTGCCCAGGAACAGCCCTCAACCAGTAACTTACGGGAGCAAGTGGATAGATATCCCAGTTCCCTCACCGCCAGAAGGTGTTCACTGGCTCCCAAAGCCCCCAGCAGCTTGGAGCTCCAGGTGCTCACGGTGGTGGCTGGCTTGACAACACGCCTTTATTGGCCACCTTCTCTCTTTTATCACACTTCCTCACTCCCCTACAAGGGTTTTCTGGGATCTGCTCCCAAATAGACTAAATAGTAGATGCATTTGAAATCTTTCCCAGGGTCTGCTTCTGGGGAAACTCAAGCTAAGACATATATGTTTATAAAAAATATGGAGTATCTGCTTTTTATGTGTTGACATCAAGGGAATTGTACTGCCTGAACTGTGAGGTAGTAGCCTTGTTACTCCCATTTGTCAGATGAGGAAAATGAGACTCAGAGAATGAAGGAATTTGCCCTATGCATCACAACCTTGGCACTCACACTCAGGTCTCCTATGCTCTGTCACTGTTCATTCCTTGGGCAGGGATGAGGGGGTTCCTGTATTCTTCTGGCTGCCCCGAAGTCTCCTGGGCCTAAGGATTTCAAGGGGTGGGGGGAGCTCGGGCAGGTGTGTTAGAGCAAGCTCCAGGGCAGCAACATGCAGAAGGTACAGCATGCGTGGCCCCAGACACTGGCCACAAGCAAGAGCATATTTTACATTCAAGAAAAGGTTTTTTTTCTGCATCATTACCCATGCCTCTGAAAATACACTAAAACTCCCAGTCCTGGGATAGGGGAAATTAGAGAAATAGGGTAGAGATCTAAGTGCTATGTGGGTTTGTTTAGAAAGGTGGAGGCTAAGACAGATTAGCCTGGAGGCTAACTTGCTGTGTAACTTCCGGACAGTTACTTACCCTCTCTGGGCCTGAAGTTCCTTTTCTATAATAAGGGAGGCCTTGTCATGATTGGAGGGCAGGGTTTGAAAACTCAAATGGCTTCCTCATCCACATGAGGAAGGTGGTCCCAGCAAGGGTGGTGCGAACTGGATAGCTCAGGTGCAGTCTACAGGCAGCCCCTATTCAGCTTCACCAATGGTGACATGAGCAAATAGCAGAGGAGCGTGGGACACAGAGGTTCTAGTCCCAGACTGCCAACTCTTTCTGTTTTTCAAAAGAAGAAAGAAATCCAGGTTTATGTAAGCTCTCTTTAAGTGTTAGCCGTTAATTTAAAAAAATCACTATGGAGGGACAACTGAAATACACCTGTGTGTTGAAACATCTCACACGAGGGAGGGGAGAGGGTTCAACATTCCTACATTCAATATTTTGGAGGCCCTAGTATGTGCCAGGTGCCGCGTATTAAAGATATAGTGGTCTAGGAGACAGAAGATGTGTCTGTGCCATCCTGGGACTTACTTTCTAGAAGAGTTTAAAGTCCAAGCCCTGGCCATTCCCCCGGATGCAGACAATTTTCTTCTCACCCTCTGGAGTAAGGGCCCCCAGAGAACAACCCAAGTGAGGTGATATTAAGAGTCATGCCTCCCATACCCACTAGGATGGCTATAATAATAATTTTTTAAAAAGCAAAATAGCAAACGTTGGTGAGGATGTGGAGAAATTGGAACCCTTGTACATTGCTGATGGGAATGCAAAACGGTGGAAAACAATTTGGCAATTCCTCAGAATGTTAAACATGGCTCAGCAATTCCACTCCTAGGTATATGCCCAGGAGAACTGAAAACAGGTGCTCAAATACATGTACATGCATGTTCATAGCATCACTATTCACAATAGTCAGGAGGTGGAAACAACCCAAATTTCTAACTCCAGATGAAAAGGTAAACAAATTGTGGTATATATACACACACAGTGAATATTATTCAGCCATAAAAGGGAATGCAATACTGATACATGCTACAACGTGGATGAACCCTGAAAACATTTTAAGTGAAAGAAGCCAGACACAAAACGCCACACATTGTATGATTCCATTTGCATGACATATCCAGAATAAATTAATCCATAGATACAAAAAGCAGGTCAGTGGTTGCCAAGGACTGGAGGGATGGAGGAATGGGAGTAATTGCTTAATGGGTATGGTATTTCTTTTTGGAACTACATAGAGGTGGTGGCTGCACAGCATTGTGAATGTACTAAAGGTCATGAAATTATTCACTTTAAAATGGTTCATATTATAGTGTTATGTGAATTTCACCTCAAAAAATATTTTTGAAATTGTAACCACATAAAAGTACTACTTCGTTAGGACTGGTGAACAAATTACATGCAGCAAAACAGTGGACTATTATGTGGCCATTAAAAATTCAGGGATGTTTTAATGACAATGGAACACTAAGCAAATCAGAGGATAAAAGTTGTATACACAGCACTTTACTAATTATGTTAAATAAAAAGCACACAAAAGACTATATAAAAATAAACCAAAATGCTTGTTATCTAACTTAAAAAATAAAGATTTATGCTTCTGTTGAAAGTGGCAGGTATAGACAATGAAGTGGATGAAACAGTCCCAGGTGTAGAGAGAGCCGGGAGGTCAACAGAACCAAATTTTTCTCTCCTCTCTGCCCCACACTGCCTGGAGGACCCATCCAGGCCCCCACTCTCCTCTCACACAAAAGGAGAGGGTCACAGATGCCCCCTCTGGAGAGTCATCCAGCCTCTTGGCATTTTCTCCAAGAAACTCCTGCACATGTGGTCACAGCTGCACATCCATGATGTACCCAGCAGTATTGTTTGTTTCAGTGAACAACCCAAATATTCATCAACAGGGGAACGAGAAAGTAGAGTGGCCACCTGATGGGACACTCCGCTTAGAGATTAACCTAGACCTCTGTTTCTCATCCTGGCTAGAGCCCAACAGCTTAATGATAAGAAGGCAGGAGGAAAGCAAACTGCAGAAGAATCTCACAGTTAGAAAGCATTTATGTAGGTCTTTGAAACACATAAAGGAATTCTGTATATTGTTTAATGCATCCATATGTATGTAATACATTTATAAAAGTACAGCCTGGAAGGCCTGTAATTCATGACATTGGTTGCCTCTGGGGAGACAGAAAAACAGGACTGGGAGGGAAAGAAGGTAGCAAGGCTTCCATTTTTTTGTTACTTTTGGTAATTTTATTTTTAAAATTATAAATAAATCTGAAGCAAACACAACAAAATGCTAACATTTGTTAATTCTGGATGGTGGGTTCCTGGGATATTTAGTCTATTATTCTCTTTACTTATCTGTATTTTCTCCCCTCCCCCTGAAAAGGATAGTGCAGTGAAAGTCACGGGGTTAGGTAGCTAATATCTATTGAGGTCTTTGTGTCTGCCAAAAGTTACACCAGTGGTTCTCAAAGTGAGGTTCCTAGACCAGCAGCATTGGCCTCACTGGGGAAGGCTAATTCTCAGGGTCCTGCACCAGACCTATTGAATCAAAAACTCTGGGGTCAGAGCTCAGAAATCTGTGTTCTGACAAGACTTATGGGTGATTTTGATGTGCCACTAAAGTTTGAGACCACTGGGCTGGACTGTTGATGGCTTTGTCAATCGTTAACATGGGGAATCTAGTAACCACAATGTTGCTCATGTAATTGTATATTAATGATACCAAAAAAAAATAGTTAACATGTACCAATTAACAGGTAACCATGTCAGGCACTGCTCCAAGAGCATTCCTTCAGTAATTCAATCTAATATTCAAAATAATCCTGTGAGAGAGCCATTATTATTATTTTCCCATCCTAGGGTTGTGAAAACAGGCACAGAAAGGCCAAATGCCCTGTCCAAGGCCCAGTGGGCAAGTTGCTGTCAGAAACCGTCTTCCTTAACCACTACGCGAACAGTCTCTCACATGCATGAACTCAGCCTTAGAAGAAAGCATGAATAGCCTTGTTTGATAGATGAGGAAATGAATTCAGAGATGGATAGTGACTTGCCCAAGGGCTCACAAGGAGAAAAGTGAAGGGGCAGACATCCTGTGGTCTGTCCAGGAGGTTCTGGGGTTTGACCTAGACGTGCTGGGGATCAGGGCCCGGCGAAGCAGAAGGAGGGAGCACAGCCAGCAGACCCAGCTGCAGCCACGCTTGGGTGTGACTCACACGTCACGCCTAAGGCCAGCTGTCCCCTACTCCACGACGGCCGCCAACCTGGCGTGACCTGTCACCCACCCCAACCAGGAACCGTAAGGGCCTTCCCCACCCGGGCTCCGCGAAGCCCCATCCCTTCCTTCTCGTTTCCTTTTTTTTTTATTTTTCAGAAGGGGAAACTGGACCGCCCAGAGAAGTGGCGGCCCAGAGCATAAAGTCCCAGGGCGGCCTGAGAGCTTCCCCTCCCCTCGAGCTTTTCCAAGTTCGCAGCTGGGCAATTCCGCCTCTCATCCGCGCACCCTCTCCGCGTCGGCCCCTCATTCCACCGCCTGTCTGTCGCTCCCCCGACGGAGCCTTCCCGGCGCACGCCAGCCTGCCCTGCCCACACAGGGGTTCTCTCCGCAGCCCGAAGACCCTCAGGCCGAGCTCACCGGCGGGTGGCCGGGTTCCCGCGGCCGCCTCACTCACCTGGGCGCCCGCTCCTCGTCCCGCGGGCAGCCCGGATCCTCGCAGCTCGAGCGCCCCCCCAGCTCAGCAGCCCCCGGGGTCCCGGGGTGCCCGTGCTCCCGAAGGAAGACGGGCTGACTTCGGAGACGAAAAGGCTAGGGCGGTGCTCTGACGGGCTCGGGGCCGCGCGTCCTCTTGGGCCCCTCTCGCGCGGCACTGTACGCGTCCCTCCCACTTGCCTCTAGGCCTCGGCGGTGTGCGGCTGCTGGAACCAGGGACGCGCGGGGCGCCCACAGGCCATCTGGGCGCCTTAGCCGCGCCTGGAGCGACGCTAACCCCGCCCCCAAGATTCTAACCCCACCCCAAGATTCTTTTTTTTTGTATCATTAATTTACAATTACATGAAGAACATTATGTTTACTAGGCTCCCCCCTTCACCAAGCCCTCCCCACATACCCCTTCACAGTCACTGTCCATCAGCGTAGTAAGATGCTGTAAAATCACTACTTCCCCACCCCAAGATTTTAATCCCAGTTGCCACCTCCCAGGATTCCGTCTCCTCTTCCCAGGTCCTAATCCCAAAGTTTAAGGATTTTTTTTCACACTGCCCACTCGAGGCTTCTAGCCCTGCTCCCAAGAATTTTAACCTGTCTCCCAAAGATCCTAACCCATACCCCCTCCTCCAAAGATCCTCCCCCCTTTCTAACGGAGTGATTTTAATGAACCGTATGTATGTACCTGAATGCAAGCAAACTCCAAGGCACAAGCATAAAATTATGACAGCTACTTCCTTTTGAACAAGAAAGTGGCAGTAAGCATCTGTGAGTGTCCCCCCTAATGTGAGAGCTCCTCCCCTGGCACTCTTCATCCAGTTTTCAGGGGAAAGGTGTCTTCTGGCCGTCTGTCATCTACCATTACTCCTTACAAGACAGGAGTGGCAGTGACTGACACCTGCCTACAATCTAAGAATCCTGTCCAGATGCAGCAGCTAGGCAGTTCCATGTGGGGAGATGAACCTTTCATTAGGGTTAAAGATAAATGCATGTGCTAACACAGGGCTACTGAGTCACTGACCTTTAATTAGAGAAAATGAATGTTATTTGTCCACATTTCCACAGTTGCTTCCATGTAAAAATCAGTTTTAGAGCTCCTTTTACTAAAACATTCTGATCAAAAACTCTTGCAAAGGAAGGCTCACCTGGCCTCAAGTCTATAACATGAAAGCAAGGAGAGACGGTAGTTTTCTGCTGTTAATCATGTTCAGGACATTCACAAGGGTTGAAGGGGTGGGTGTGCGAGGTCCCAGGAAACAGCACAATGCTGTCTGCACCAAAAATCCCGTGTACTTCCCAGAGCCTTAAAATGGCCAGCTGGCTGATTGTAAGCGCAATGGTTCTCCCATAAGTGAGCACATGGCCTTCACATAGTTCTTTTCATCCATCTTAAAGCAGGATAAATCCCCACAGGAGAAGTTACCTCTTCTTTTTCCATGAAAAATCGGATCCACTTGTCCTCTTCATCTCTTACATCAAAGTATTCACTGACACCCAAGATGTGGGGAATCTCATTATCCAAGTGTAAATGCTCCTCATAAAACATCTTAATCTCTTCTTCACAGTTTGGTAGTTATTTTTGCATCCGTAAGTGATTTCTCTCTTTTCAGATCTTTTCTAATTCTGGATCATTTTCATCTTTGTCAGAATCCAGCTACCAATAAAGGACTCGGAGTCCCCGCAGCTGCCTCAGGTGGAACGACTTCCTGGCCAGGGCCGTGGGGCTGCCTCTCGGCGTCCATGGACTCCTCCGTGTCCTAGACCTGCACCGTGGCCAGGCCGGGGGCGCTGCGAGCCCTGGACCAACACCCCGGCCTGTACTCCGACCCACATGGACGGCCTGACCCTGCGTGGACCCGGACTCGCACGGGAGGCATCACCTTGGCCTGCACCTAACCTGCACGGGCGGCCGGACACCCGGACCTGGACCTCAACCTTCACTCTGACCTCCACGGGTCGCCTGAGCCCAGGACCTGCTCCCCGGCCTGTACTCCGACGACCACCGGCGGCCTGCACCCAGACCGGCACAGGCAGCCTGACCTCGGCCTGCACGCGCTGCCCGGCCCGGCTGACCCACCCCAGCCCCGATGGCGCGCGCTGCCTTGGGGAGCAGTATGTGGGGTGTGCGAGGTCCCAGGAAACAGCACAATGCTGTCTGCACCAAAAATCCCGTGTACTTCCCAGAGCCTTAAAATGGCCAGCTGGCTGATTGTAAGCACAATGGTTCTCCCATAAGTGAGCACATGGCCTTCACATAGTTCTTTTCATCCATCTTAAAGCAGGATAAATCCCCACAGGAGAAGTTACCTCTTCTTTTTCCATGAAAAATCGGATCCACTTGTCCTCTTCATCTCTTACATCAAAGTATTCACTGACACCCAAGATGTGGGGAATCTCATTATCCAAGTGTAAATGCTCCTCATAAAACATCTTAATCTCTTCTTCACAGTTTGGTAGTTATTTTTGCATCCGTAAGTGATTTCTCTCTTTTCAGATCTTTTCTAATTCTGGATCATTTTCATCTTTGTCAGAATCCAGCTACCAATAAAGGACTCGGAGTCCCCGCAGCTGCCTCAGGTGGAACGACTTCCTGGCCAGGGCCGTGGGGCTGCCTCTCGGCGTCCATGGACTCCTCCGTGTCCTAGACCTGCACCGTGGCCAGGCCGGGGGCGCTGCGAGCCCTGGACCAACACCCCGGCCTGTACTCCGACCCACATGGACGGCCTGACCCTGCGTGGACCCGGACTCGCACGGGAGGCATCACCTTGGCCTGCACCTAACCTGCACGGGCGGCCGGACACCCGGACCTGGACCTCAACCTTCACTCTGACCTCCACGGGTCGCCTGAGCCCAGGACCTGCTCCCCGGCCTGTACTCCGACGACCACCGGCGGCCTGCACCCAGACCGGCACAGGCAGCCTGACCTCGGCCTGCACGCGCTGCCCGGCCCGGCTGACCCACCCCAGCCCCGATGGCGCGCGCTGCCTTGGGGAGCAGTATGTGGGGCGTGGGATGCAGCAGATAAATAGTCTCCCCGAATGTAGTCTAATCCCACCTCCCACTGCCAAACCGGACCACAAAAGGATTAAACCTCACTCTAAACTCTTCTAATCCTCTGTCCCAGGAAACCCAACACCTCGTCTTCTACGCCCAAGATCCTAACTCTCCCGCAAAGTATTTTGAATGCCATCTCTGAAGAATTTTAACCTCGCCCATTGGAGGTTTCTCATTCTGCCCCCAAGGACTCTAATCCGTCCAACGGAAGGACCTTAACTTTCAAAGAATTCTAACCCAGTCCTCAGGATTTATAACGCGAACTCCAGGGATTCTAATCCCGACCGTGGTGATCCTAATCTCTTTCCCCCAGGATTTTAATCCCAGCTCCCATTCTAATCTGGTCCATCCAAAGATTTCAATCCTGCCCTGCAGGGATTGTAACCCTTTTATCCAAGGATCCTAATCCCACCCTCGTCCTCTCGCAGGACTCTAAGTGCCACCAGCCCCCGCAGCCTCCTCAAGTATTCTGATCGGTTTCCCCCCAACCATTCCAATCCCCTCCTCTAGCCCACCCTCTCTCCTGGGCCGGGTCCCAGGTCTTCCCCGCAGTTCTGTGAACAGCAGTTTCCGCTCCGCAGGCCCCGCGCTATTCAAACTCCATGCGAAGTTCCTCGCAGCAGAAGCGCCCTGGTGCTTTCCTGGCAGCTGAGAGGACTTCGAAAACTGAGGGGCCAAGAAGTCGAGCTGGAGGGCGACACTCCCAGATGAATGTCAAAGCTGTTGTCAGAAAGAAAGGGATGTATACAAACCAATTTTATTTCTATACACTAGCAATGAACAATCTGAAAAAAAAAAAGTTAAGAAAACAATTTCATTTACAGTATCACCAAAAAGAATATAATACTTGGGAATAAATTTAACAAAAGAAGTACAAAATGCTCTGAAAACTAGAAAACGTTTTTGAAAGAAACTTAAGCCTTAAGTAAAGTCATCTCTTGGGACAAGAAAGCTTCCTCATGGAAAAGACATCCTTTCACGGATTGGAAGACTCAATATTGTTAAAATGATGATATTCCCCAAACTGATCAACATAATCCCTTTCAAACTCCTGATTTTTTTTTTGTAAAAATAGACAATCTCATCCTAAAATTCATATGGAAATGCAAAGAACCCAGAACAAGCAAGACAATCTTGAAAAAAGTAAAACAAAGTTGGAGGACTCATACTTCATAATTTCAAAAGTTACTACATAGCTACAGTAATCAAGATAGTGTTATACTGGCATAAAGATAGAACTATAGATCAAAGGAACAGAATTGAGAGTCCAGAAGTAAACCCTCACATTTACGGCCAATTGTTTTTCAACAAGGGTACCAAGACAATTCAATGAGGGGAAAGTGTAGTATTTTCAGCAAATGTTGCTGGAACGACTATATATCCACATGCAAAATAATGAAGTTGGACCCCTACCTCACACCATACATGACAACTGGATAATTCAAAATGGATTATAGACCTAAGTGTATGAGCCAAAACTATAAAACTCTTAGAAGTAAATCTTCATGACCATTGGTTAGGTGAAGCCTTCTTAGATTTGACGAGTGACAAAAGAAAAGATAAACTGGGCGTCATCAAAACTAAAAACTTGTGCCTCAAATGACACAATCAAGAATATGAAAAGACAACTTCCAGAATGGGAGAAAGTACTTGCAAATCATAGATCTGATATGGGACTGATATTCTGAATATATAAATAACACTTACAACTAAACAATAAAAAGATAACATAAAAAAGTGAGGAAAAGATATGAATAGGATTTCTCCAAAGAAGCTATACAAATAGCTAATAAGCACATGAAAAATACTTAATGTCATTAGTTATTAGGGAAATACAAATCAAAGTCACAATGAGATGCCACTTCACATCCATTAGAATGGCTATAATCAAAAGAGTGAGAATAACAAGTGTTGAGGACATGAAGAAAATTAGAACCCTCATCTATTGCTGGTGGGAATGTAAAATGGTGCTGTCACTTTGAAAAACAGTGTGGCAGTTCCTCAAAATGTTAAACACAGAGTTACCATATGACCCAGCACTTGAACACCTAGGCATATACCTAAAAGAACTGAAAATATGTCTACACAAAAATATGCATATGAATTTTTCAGAGCAGCATTATTCATATTAGGCAAAAAGTGGAAACAACTCCAATGTCCATCGATGGACAAATAAAATGTGGTTATCTATATAATGGAATATTATTTGGCAAT